CCCGAGCGAAGGAGCGCCAGGACCAGCGAGGTCTTGGCCTTGGCCTTCTTGGGCTTGCTGAACTCCACATAGACGGGGTTGCTGGTCGCGGTGAACACTGCACGCAACACACACACACACACACACACCACGGTCAGTGCGCCATTGAAGAATGACAAGCCTCTGCTTCCGAGCATGAGAAGGCGGTACCAGCGGCGGCGCCCGCATTGCCGGCGGCCTCGAGGTCCCACACGCTCGTGTAGCGCTCGGTGGCCGAGGCGGAGACGAGGAACTTGCCATTGGCGGAGAAGTTCTGTGTCGCGGCAAACGCGCCACGACGAAAACCGGGTGAGTGTCGGCCTGAGCCTTGTATTCACACGCACACGCCCCACCGCACACACGCACACGCGCAAGGCTGTGCGTACCAGGCTGGTCACGGCCGAAGTGTGACCGGTGAACTTCTTCTGGGACTTGGAGGAGGCGAGATCCCACATCTTGATCATGGCCGAGGCGGTGGCCAGCGTGGAATTGTCCGCCGACAGGGCCAGCGACGAGATCGGCTGGTTGTCGGCCTTGAACTTGCTGCAAGCGCGGGAGAGCCAAAGAGAGTGCCCAACATCAGTCACCAAACAATGAGAGTTGCGTGCGCTGCGGGAGGAGCTGTGGTTTCGTACGCGACGATCTCGCCGTTCTCGACGTTCCACTTGATGACTTGAAGGTCGTCAGAGCAGGAGAAGAGGAAGGTGGCGCCCTCGGTGAAGACCAGGTCGTTCACCTTGCCGGTGTGGCCTTCCTTGCCGCCGAGCTCCTTGTGCACTTCGCCGCGCAGGACGTCCCACACGACGATGGTGCCCTTGGCCGTACCAATGGCAACGGCACCGCCTGTACATAGAGTGTGCCCACCAAAGTGAGCACGACATGCACACGCCATGCCCGCTCTCTACGTTCTGCATTCTCTTTCCATCTCGGGTGCATCCATTGGTAGGAAACGAACCGAGCTGCTTCTTGGCACGCTTGCTGCGCTCGGTCTGACCGACGCCCTGGAACTGAGGAGAGCCAAAAACAAAGAGAGTCGTGAGAATCACACGAGATTTGAATTGCGAGATTTTTTTCATTGTTTAAATGGAAAAAAATCTCGAAATTGAAATTAAATAATCGCCGGAGGAGAGAGTTGTGTGTGCAGTCTTGGTGGTGAGGTGGAAGTACGGTTGTGGCGCCCCAGGCGATGGCAGTGTACTGCGTGCTGAGATGATCCTTCTCGGCCAGCTGCTGCTGGACGCCTCCCGAGCGGGTGTCGAAAATCTTGAGGCGGCCATCCTGAGATACCGTGGCGAATCGCTCGAACGAGGGCTCAAAGCACGAGAGGGGCTTGTAGAATGTAGTTGCCATCCCTTTTCAACGCGCATTACATCAAGTCGTCAAAAAATGGGATGGGGATTCGATAGCACGATCGGAGGACTACAAATGCGGAATTCGATGGAAGGAGGAGTTTGTTTGAGAACCTACCAGTTGTGAAGGAAATCGGGAGGAGAGATGCAAGTGTGGATGGGCACACGGGAGGCTACGATTTCGCAATTGAGCACAAGATTTCTCCCGCCCTCTTTACCTCCGGCTTTCCTTTCTGCCCTCTTTCTCACCCCCATT